CTTCCTGAAACTGTGGCTGGCCCCTACCTCAAGGGTCTTTGGAGATACTACATGAGGTAACATGAAAAGTGTCCACACAGAGCTCGGTAGGTGGTTCTCACTGTGATACTTACTTTCTTTGAATTTATTTCATTCATTTAGCCACAATAAACCCATGTTGCAATGCTCTTTGCCTTGTGTAATTGGGGAAACTAAGGCTTAGGGAGGTTAAGCAGTTTGTCAAAGGCCTCGCAGCGCACAAACCATGTGGCAGAGCTAGGGCCTGATGTCGGCATGTCTGACTCCCGTTCTGTGCTCCTTCCGGGTGAGGGTCACGGCACCCCACCCAGACTCCTCACTTCTACCGCACCCCACCTCCTTTGTGTGTCCCCTCTCCTAACCCCAATAAGCTCGTCTCGCCCCATGTCCAGTAGGCCGTGCTCCCTTCTCCCGCACCCTGGTTCTGAACTTCATTCACTAGGTTGGGTGCCAGGGGTGGGGCGGGCAGAGCCAAGGGGTGTGTGAGCCCCCCTAAAGCCATGCCTGGAGCCGGAGCTCTCATCCTCCCTCTCTCCCTGTCTCTCCCCACCAGCGAGGCAGCTAAGGGTGCTGAGGCCTCTGGAGGATGTGGCCATCGTTGAGGGGGGCAGTGCTGCCTTCCAGCTGGAGCTGTCCCAGGAGGGTGTGACCGGGGAATGGGCCCGGGGTGGAGTCCGGCTGCACCCGGGCCCCCAGTGCCACATCCACACCGAGGGCCACACTCACCGCCTGGTACTCGGTGGCTTGGGCCTGGCCGACTCCGGCTGCATCTCCTTCACCACGGACTCCCTGCGCTGTGCAGCCAGACTCACTGTGAGAGGTGCGGCCTTCGGGCCACCACCTGCTTGCCGACCTCCTGGGTGTGACTCCACTGACCCCCCTCCCTGTGTGGCCCCCACTGACCATGCCTGTTCCAGTGTGCCTCTCACCGACCTCTCTGCTAGAGTGTGACTGCCCTGACCCTTGGGCCCTGAGCAGCCCGTGACTGCCCCGCCTGAGTGTGGCGCCTCACCGGCATGATGCAGCGTGGCTACACAGCCTCCTTCCCCCCGTGAACCACCGACTGTGCCACTGTGAGCATGGCCGCGTGAGTGTGGGCCCTCTTGTCTGCCTGCCTGACCATGGCCCCGCTGACCACACCCGCCTGCTATGCCCCTGTTGCCTGCCTGAGTGGCCTTCTGACCACTCAAGTCCCAGTGGTCCACTGTCTGTGCCTGAGGATGAGTCCACTAGCAGCTCTGCTGAGTGTCCCCATCATTGCTTCCAGCCCGGTGTGTTCCCCACTGGCCACACCTGTTTTAAGGTCCCCCTTGCTCCTCTGAAGCCATTCTGTCTCCCCTGATGCAAGGTCTCCTGTTCATCCAGCCAAATGTGGCCCCCACTGACCATCCCTGTCTATGGGGGACCCCACTGGTATTTTGCTCTGGTTCCCCCTGCCACTCCCCTCTAGCACCAGCATGTCCTACACTGGCCACCTTCGAGCGTTGCTGCCAGCTGGCCACTCTTGTCCCGTTGACCCCTGTACCCTCACTGATCAGCATCCCCATGGAGCATTTGTCCCAGCACATCCCCCACTCACCAGTGACCTCCACACTGATGGCCTGGCCTAAGTGTGTCTACCATTGACCCTTGTGCCCATGAGTGTTTTTGTCCCCAGGGGCCAGGTCCCCATCCTGCCCTCACCCGGGCTCCCTCTACGATCTTCCTCTTCCCACTCCCAGAGGCCCCAGTGACCATTGTGCAGGTGCCACAGGACCTAGAGGTGACTGAGGGCGACACAGCTACATTCGAGTGCGAGCTTTCCCAGGCCTTGGCTGATGTTACCTGGGAGAAGGTCAGAGCCCAGCCCCACCCACCTCAGCATCCTAACGACAGTGATAGCGCCCCAAACACACTAGAATACTGAGTGGATGTGCCTAGCACCGTGCTCAGATTTGCTCTACGTTTAATCCTTTAATCTTTACAACAAACAACCCTTTGAGGTAGGTCTCGTTATCTTCATGTTACCTACAAGGAGACTGGGGCTCTGTGGGGTGAAGTATTGCCCAGGGGAAGACAAAAGGGGCAGAGCCCATACTTGAATCCAGATTTCCCTAATTCCCAAATCCACGCATATGGCCAGTGTGATTGGTACATGACCCTGGGCTTCCCATGCCTATGAAGCCCCTTCTCAGCCCTATCGGGTTCAAAGGGTGACATCTTCCCAGTGAGGCTCTTAGCGCAGTACTCAGGCGCAGATCGGCTCCATCCCAGCCTGGGGGACACAGACAGGTTTACACGCCCCCCGAAACTGCTTGGCAACAACAGGGGGCGCCACCGCCTCCTAGGTCTGCGGCGGCCGGCTCACCACGACCCTCTGCCACTCCCACACCTAGGACGGGCGCCCGCTCAGCCCAAGTCCTCGGCTCAGGCTCCAAGCCCTCGGTACGCGGCGACTTCTCCAGCTGCGGCGCTGCGGCCCCTCGGACGCGGGGACCTACAGCTGCGCGGTGGGGACCGCTCGCGCCGGCCCTGTCCGCCTAACCGTGCACGGTGGGTACGGGGTGCTGCTGGGGCCGGACTAACTAATGCAGGCTTGGGGGCTGCAGATCAGCCCTTCCCTGGGACTGGCTCCGCGGCTTGGGAGAGGGGCGGGACGGGAGGCCCCTCTGCCCCGCCCCGCCTCACGCCCTCGGCTCCGCCCCAGAGCGGGTGGTCTCTGTGCTCTCCGAGCTCCAGTCGGTGAGAGCCCGCGAGGGCGACGGCGCCACGTTCGAGTGCACGGTATCGGAGGTCGAGACGACCGGCAGCTGGAAGCTCGGAGGCCGCCCACTGAGGCCCGGAGGCCGAGTCCGAATCCGACAGGAAGGTCCGGCCGACTTCCCACTGGTTCTGGCCCCTCGCTGCCGCGTCCCGCGTTCCCACAGACCCCGCCCCACTACCATAAGTCGCACCCCCAGCCCGAATGGGCCCAGCCCCCGGGCCAAAGAGCTGTCTCGCTGTCTCTCTGCAGCCCCCAGCTCTCAGCCCTCTGTCCTGGCCGGCTCCACTTCCCCCTCGGCACCCCAATCCGCCCATTTGATTCCACCACCACCCCGCCCCCGCCCTCGCCCTAGCGCAAATTTCTCACGTCCGAATCGACCAGGGGACCTACTCCGGCCCCACCCTCATCCCCAATCTCGCCCTAGAGGCGGCTCCAGCCTCGCTAGCGCCCCCTTCATCCTCAGGGAAGAAACACATTCTGGTGCTGAGTGAGCTGCGCGCGGAGGATGCGGGTGAGGTCCGTTTCCAGGCGGGACCCGCCCAGTCCGCTGCTGAGCTGGAGGTGGAGGGTAAGCAACTGCGGCGAGGGCTGCCTGGAGTGGGCGTCACCTTCCTTGGGGCAGGCAGGTTGGTGGCTTGTCCTAGGAAAGCTCCTTCCTCGAGGGGCTCTCCTGGGGCGGGTCACAGAGGGGAGTGCGTTTCCTGGGGAGGAGGAGACCTTGGGTTGAGGCTACAGAGTAATGGGCCTGTGGCATAGAGACCTGAGACCAGGAGTTGAGGTCGAAGGGGGAGGGAAGATGCGCTTCTCCTCCGGGCGGGGTAGGGGGTCCTGCGTCTTCTCTTCCTATTAACTTAAAACCTAGGCCTCCACCCCCAGCACTGCCTCTCCAGATGTGCCGCCGCCCGCCTCGAGAAAAGACGGTTCTAGCGGGCCGCCGGGCGGTGCTGGAGGTGACAGTGTCCCGCTCCGGGGGCCACGTGTGCTGGTTGCGGGAGGGGATCGAGCTGTGTCCCGGAGACAAGTACGAGCTGCGCAGCCATGGCCCCACCCACAGCCTGGTCATCCATGACGTGCGACCTGAGGACCAGGGCACCTATTGCTGCCAGGCCGGTGAAGACAGCGCCCGCACGCGGCTGCTGGTAGAGGGTGAGTGGAGCCGACTAGGGCAGGTGGGCTGGCCAAGCAGAAGTGGTCTGAGACACACCTACCCAGGTTTTTCAGGACTTGGGATAGCAAGATGGTTCTGGAGTGTCTTGAAGGTAGGAGGTGGGAGGGCCAGAGATCTCACCCAGGCGAGGAGAGGAGGGAGCTGTGTTCTCAGCCGGAACCACTTGGTTCAGGGCAGCTGCTCCCACTTTTCTACGCCCCTTCCTGTCCGGAGTTCTCACTCCCTCCTGTCCCTGGACTGTTTGTGTCACCTGAACACCCCATTTGTACCCAAGTTCCTGTCCTTCCCAGTGCTTCTGCTTCGCGCCCACCACCTGTCTCTCACCCCCTCCCCGCTCTCTGCTGGCTTCTGCCCACCTCAGGGAGTTGAACATCAGCCTGGGCAGAAGACTTCTGAGCTAGGCCCGTTTCTTTTCTTTCCCACGTAGGACATGCCCCGCCCTCCACCCCGATCCCTGCATTCCTTTTAGATGCCTCGCCTGACCCTAAGCAGCCCCCACTTCCCTGCCCCAAAGACAACCTCAGCAGAGGCCCAGCAAGGGTGGGGCAGAGGGTGAGGGCCCCGCTCTTCCTGTGTGGGTGCCCAGCCTCTGCCAGGGAGGAAGGCGGTACCCACTCTCTCCCCAGCCCCACTCGGAGTCATTCCTCTGCAGGTAGCTAGAAGGACCGAACCAGGCCAGGCGGGTGCCCTCGGACAGCTTGGAAGGCGCATGCCCTTATGCCGGGCAGGGGTGGGGAGGCAGGGGAACCAGAGGTGATGGGAAACAATAAAAGTGATGCAGCCCCTTTTCCTGGCTCTCTGTGTGACATAGGAGGGCAGAACTGGCCTGAGGTCCCTGCATAGTGAGTGACACAGGGAAGCAAGAACTATAGTGCTTCTAATTTGGCCCATGGACATGCTAGCCACCAAAGACTACCACTCCTGGTAGAAGCCACAGTTTGGCACATTTATAAAAGATGTAAAACAGGGTGGGGTAGAGGGAGACAGAAGCATGAGGTGTCCAAGGTGGCATGACAGACACCAGACATGCATCGTGCATTTAAGCCCCCTCCCCTGAGATCCCTTCCCCGACCCAGCCCAAAGCAGCACCCCCCACCCCCATCCCCTGCCACTGCCCTCAGGCTAGTGGCTTTGCAGAGGACAGGGGACCAGGGTAAGGGGTGCTGCGGTGGACGAGGACAAGAAGCCTTGGATGAATCTCGTTAAGAGGCAGAGCAGTGGGGGAAGAAGGCAGACCTCCTCCACTTAGACATGCAGGAGAGTGGCTCACGGGACCCCAGCAGTGGGAGAGGCGGTGGGGCCAACCTTGCAGAAGCCCTCCCAGTTAGAAATCTAAGGCAAGTGTCCCACTGTCCCCTCCAAGCCCACCCCTCCATGCACACGCACACACAGGTGACACACTCACAACCCTGAGCACACCCCAGAGGGGCTCACACCTCGAGTCCCTCGGGAGCCCCTTGGGAGCTTGGGAGGGGCCTTTCCCTCAGGCCAGGCCTAGCCTGAGACAGGTCCTCCCTTCCAGCAACCAGGCCAGTCTTCTCCAGGGAGGGGAGAGGGACAGCCATTCGCCACAGGGCCAGGAGGGCTGCGTGGTGGGCCAGCAGGCCTCCCCGAGCTGACAGAGCTGGTGAGCAGAGTCCAGGAGGGCAGGAGCAGCTGTACTGCTATACCCGCACGGGGGGCCCTGCACAGGCTGCCAGTGGTCCCCGGGACCCATATTCATAGTCCGTGTCTGTGGGCGAGGCCATGAAGGAGCTCAGTGAGCTCCCCGTCTGTCGGTCCCGGAAGCTCTGGATATAGCTCTGTGGGAGAGTAAACACAGATGTGAGTGCAGCCACAGACCCCTGCCCTGAGGGCCACCTCAGGCAGACATCCTCTCCCTGCAACCCGCAAGCCTGTGACTCCCCCCAGACAGCTGTAGGCCCAGGACCTCCTCACACTCAGTCTAAAGCCCTGAGGCCCTGCCCCATCATGCCATATACCTCATTAAAGTCCTTACTCAGATACCTCTCCCCCATCCCGGCGCTGGGCCCATCAGCCTCCTGGTATAGGGGTTCTGATGGGTGGGCAAATGTTAAGCCTTCTAAATAGTGACGAGCCCCTGGGGGAAGCCCAGTCCTGCTTGGACAGAGTTTACAACACTCCCTGGCCCCCCATTCAGGATGGAGGGGTTCAGGGTGCTCACCGGGGAGAGGACATCTCCATTGAAGCGTTTGATGGGCACTGGCCTGCGCCGATAAGCAGGGTCAGGAGGTCCAGGCCTTGGAGGGGCCCGGGGGCCTCGAGAGGGAGCCCGCGGGGGTCTCTTCCTGCGCCGCTTCTCCTTGCGCTCTTCCTGCTGTCTAATCCGCATCAGCTGCACGCGTCGCCGCTGCCGGCTGATAACCACTGTGAAGGGGTGGGCAGGGAAGGGTCTCAGAGGCCCATGTGCACCATCTCCACCCATCCTTCCCCAGGGGCTCCAAGCTTCCCCCCATGTGTAACCTCCCCGCTTTTCATTCCTGGTCTTCCACCTCCCGGATGGGACTTCCACTGATTTTTACCTCCAAAGGCCTTTGAGGAAAATTCCTGCACCTGCAGGTGCTCCCTCCCGAGCTGCTGTCCCCCTCCCAGACATCGTCATGTCTCGACTGGACAACCACCGCTGCCTCCTCACTGGTTTCCCTTCTACGCTTGCCTTCCCCAGTGCTTTCTACACTCAGCAGCCAGAATGAGCATCTCAAATGCTAGATTAGAGCAGATCCTCCCTGCTTTAAACCTCCAGCGGTGGGCCACGGCCTTCCTAATAAAACCTGGGGTCCTCACTGTGGCCCAGGAAGCTTGCACAGCCAGCAGCCCTCCCCACCACAGTCCAGCCCCGCTTCCTCAGCAAGCCATGCCCACGCCTTCTCACCCTGACCCTTGCTATTCCCTTTTGTTTAGCTCTTTGCATGGCTGGTTCTTTATCCTCCAGGACTCTGCTTAAATGTCACCTCTTTGAAGTGCCTTCCTTGAGCACTCTGTCTGTAATAGCCTCGGAAGGAAACTCATATTACACAGCATATCTCTTGCATATCACCGCACAGCTAGCATTATCTTGTCTGTTTGCATGTCTATTATCTGTCTGCCTGCACCCCACCCCTCGGACCTGGCCCCGAAGGGCCAAGGACTTTTCCTGTGTTGTCTCTGCAGTCGCTCCAGCTCTGGAACAGCTGCTGCTCCACACGGTGTTGTGGAAAGAATGGCACCACTGAGGTCCTATCTTCCCAGACCACCAGCGAGTCACCTCTCTAACCCCACTGCGGCCTTCTGCTGCTAGTGTGTACAGCTTCTTCTCCCCCTCCCGAATTGCTCACCGCTGCCCCCCGCCCCCCACCCCATTTCTCTTATGCCCACCCTGGTCAGTGCCCTCTCACCTTCTGTATGGGAGTCCCCCTCGGCCGTCACCCTCCACTGCACCAGAACACCCATCAGGCTGAGCAGGGGCCAAAGCGCCAGCAGGGCCCAGCTCCGCCAGCAGAGGGGAGGCACAGGGGCGGCCCGCAGCCGCTCCATGGCGTAGCGCCCCAGCAGCAGCAGCTCAGCAAAGTAGTCCGCAGCGGTGGCGATGAGCGCGGCCCCAGTCACAGCGGTGGCCAGAGTGGTGAGAGGGCGGGGCCAGCGCAGGGTGAGCAGGGCGCAGAGCAGGCCGCCCCCCAGCAGCAGGCCCAGTGGGCCCCACACGGAGCCGGGCTGGTAGTAGGGCGCGGAGCCCAGCAGGGCGGCAGCGGCGAGCAGCAGGCCGAGCAGCAGCCCCACCAGGAAGAGGCCCACGCTGCGCACCAGCATGGCCACCAGCCCGCACAGCAGCCCGATGCCCAGCGCGATGCCGGCGCTCGCCCCGGCACTCAGCTGTGTCTCCAGTACCCGCTCTCGGTAGCACAGCAGGAAGATGACCACTGAGCCAAACAGCAACCCAGTGAGGAAGAGCACTGCCTTGAAGCAGCGGTAACCTAGAGGGGAACAGGGGCTAGTGAGGGGCCAACAGGAGGTCACCCGGACGGAGGCACGGAGTCTGAGGGGCCAGGAACACGGAATCACAGAGGAACCAGAGGCAGGGCACTACCATGAGAGAATCGGGGGTCACTGGGGTCCTGAGGGCACCAGTGATGAGGCTGCTGGGGTCAAGGGAGGTCAGAGAGATAGGTCACCAGGAGTCATTTGGAAAACGGAGAGACAGTCATCGAAATGAACGTCGGGTCTTCGAGGGTTAGAGGAGTCAGAGGTAGGTCACTGGAGTCACGAGTGAATCAGTGGTGGGTCACTGGGGTCTTTGGGGTTCTGGGAGTCAGACAAATAGGTCACAGAGTCAGAAGGGGAGCCGCAGTGGGGTCACTGGGGTCTATGGGGAGGGATTGTTCAGAGAGAGAAGGTATTTGGAAGTCAGAAAGAATTTGAGAGGTAAGGGTCACAGGGGTTCAGAAAGACAAAGTCTCGGAGGGGTCACAAGGCTTCAGAGACATGGTATCATGAAAAGGTTACAAAGAACAGGGAAGCGGTGTTAGTAGAGCCTGGCTCCGAGATGAGGTCTTTGCTGGTCAGGGGGACTGACAGCCTGGAGTCGCTGAGAGTGAGAGGGTCTCAAAGAGAGGGTGACACTGAGGCCAGAGAAATGGGGTCACTGGAGTCACAGTGTGGGGAGGGGCAGTCAGCAATGAGATCCTTGGAATCAGAGAGTCAGAAGAAATGGAGTCAGAAGAGTAAGTTGATGAGATAACTGGGCTGGGGGTCACTGGGGCTTACAAGGAGTCATAGCCCCCATAGGGGGTCAAAGCGGATTATAGTAGTTGTGGAGTTCCAGGAAAATGAAGTCATAGGGCCATTGGGCCCTTTAAGGGTACCTGGAAGAGAGAGGGACTTGTACATCCTAATCAGTTGGGAGGATGGGGGTAAAGGGTCAGGGAAAGCCAAAGAGAAAAGTCAAAGAGGAGACTCAGTTCTAGGAATGAAGGGAAGCCTCAGCATCTAGGAAGTTCTGGGGTCAGAAAGAGGAAAAGGGTATGCACAAGGGCTCAGAGTCCAAGGGCCAGGGAGTGGGAGCATTCAAGAGGGGCGAGGTGACAGGGCAGCACGGGAGAGGGGATGTCAGGATGGGATGAGCAACTGCAGAGGGAGGGGTACGGGTAGGGGTGGGAGGGAGGTGACACAGCCTCTTTGGAGGCCCAGAATGTATCCTGAACCCTTAGGGGGGCACTTCTGCCCACTCTGCAGTTGTTCAGCCAAGCATTTGGGGGTGGAAAGACAAGGACCATCTGGCTCCCATTCCTGCCTACTACCCAGCCACTCTCGGGGGTGTGTAGAGGCATCAGAGCAAAAGTCTCGTCCCACCTCTGCCCAGCCTGCAACCTAGCCCTGCAGACTTCCTCTGCACTTCTTCCAGCCACTTACAGTGCACCTCTAGAGGCTTTCCTTGGCCCCCAGCCAATACAGCTTGCTCTCCTCTCTGAAGTTCTGTAACTTGCTGTAGAGTCACTGGGCACTTACTCCCGTAGTCCACCTGGCACCTTTATGCAAATTAGAAAAAAAGTGTGCCATCCTCTAAGCAAAGCAGCCCAATGCCAAGGCCTAGAGTTTGGATTTCAGGCCCACTTGCCCATTCAGCTGAACTCCCTTGTATAGTAGCCATCCTGTCCGACAGTTCACAGCAGCCCTGATTGTTGGAGCCTACCCTGTGGGCAACCTCCACATGTGTGACTCTACAGCTGACCCTTGCACCACACAAGTTTGAACCTCACAGGTCCACTCGGGCATGAATATTTTCAGTAAATATACAGTCAGCCCTCCATATTCTCAGGTTTTACATGCATGAATTCAACTGATTGCAGGCTGTGAACAATATTTTGGGTCCATGGTTGGGAATCTACAGGTACTGAGGACCAGCTTAAGTTATACATGGATTTTTGACTCTACCCCAACCCTTGTTTTATTCAAAGGTCAACTATAACATGTATTACAGGTGTGAACGTTCCAGCAGTCTCTCCCCCATCTATACTTGGCATGTCTAATCACCCTGCTAAATGTTTTCACTTTCTAGCTAGCACGGCATCACAATAGCTATTATTTATTGAGTCCCCACTACTTCTCACGACAGCATTGTGGGAGGTAAATATCGTTGTTCCCACTGTTCAGATGAGAAGACTGAGGCTCAGGCAGGTTAATGTGCCCAAAGCATCACAATTAGTAAGGTACAGAGCCAGATTCATATTGAAGCATGACTAATTCGAAAACCTGTGTTCTCTAGGATCTAGTGTCTAAGATGATCTATGAACATGTAGGATGAAAGAAAGTAAGAAAAGATCATTATTCGTGCTAGTAGTAGTGGTGGTGGTGGAGATGATGGTGGTGGTGGAGTTGATGGTGGTGGTGGTGATGGTAGTGGTGGTGAAGTTCGGAGGTTTGGGGTGCCTCAGAAAATAACTCAGAGAAACAATGGAAAGCCCAGGTGAGGAATGAGTTGGGGGTCTCACCGAAGAAGCAGTAGACGACTCCAAACAGACAGCACATGATGCAGACGAGAGCCGGCAATGCCTCGTACCTGCGCTCCAGGGGCTGTTCACAGGGTGCACCCCAAAAGGCATCATCTGGCTCAGGGGGCAGCAGCTGGAACCGTAGTGTCGCCACAGTGCCTGGCATAGTGCTAGGAACGAAAGGGACTCACCCTCCTAGGTCAGCCTGACGGAGAGGAAGTGGGCGTCAAGGAGGAGCCCTGGGTCTCCACCAGAACGGGGCAAGAATGGGAGTGGGAGAGCTAAGCAAGGACACACGGGACAAAGGAGTGGTGCCCACAGCAGGCATCCCTAAAGTGGAGGACAGAAGACAAAGGGAACAAAAGTACCTGGCTAGAGGGGGCCAGGATGAAGAAGTTAAAAGGGGAACTGGCTTGGGGGGAGATGAGGGCAGTGTGCTGCCAGTGAGGAGGCAGCCAGGAGTCTCTTCTGTGGGCGGCTAAATCCGGGATTGTCCAAAATCTACCTGGGCTGGAGGCGACCTGAGCTTTTGAGTGAAAAAGGCTGTGCAGAGGCCGTAGGGTCCGGGGTTGAGGGGCTCCAGAGGCCCCAGATGCCTGGGGTCCGGGCAAAGTCCGTCGTGCAGGGAAGGCGACGGCTGGGCCGAAGGGACCAGTCTCTGTACAGCGGCGTCGCCGCCCCACCTCCCACACCGACTGGCACTCCAGTCCCACGGCGTCCGGGGACTCGGGCTGGGCCTGGGGAAGGGTAAGGAGCGAGAGCTGGGGCTCGGGCTGCCCCACAGCCGCGGCCCCATGCCCTGAGCCCGCCCGCGGCCTTTGGTGCTGATGGACAGCTCCGGCCTCGGCTCCTGACGTCACTCAGGCGCACAAGCCAGGCAGGGGCGGGCTGCTTCTGACGTCACCCGGGACGCACCAACCACGCCGGGGGGAGGTAGGGGACTCCGCCCCGGCGTCTCTCCCTCCCTCGCAGTGGAGGGGGCACTTCCGGGGGTCCTTCCCCTTTAACCTCCCCCTACTCCTCCTTCTCCGGTAGCTGGAGCCCAAGACCCCACCCCGGGGGCGGGGCCTTCGCAGTGACACGTCGGACAGCGGCTGCGGCGGCGGAGGCTCTGGTGCCCAAAGCAGGACCCTGGGCGATACGGAGTGGCGGTCGGAGGGGGATTGGAGCGCGGAGCGGGGGGTTCGGCTCTGGCCGTGGGCTCTGCTCCGCGGGGCGGGAGCGGGCCCGCCCGCTGGGCCCGGGCCCTCCGGATACGCCCCCTCCCCGGTCCCGCCCCCTCGGAGCCTCCTCTGGCTGCTCTGGGCTGCTCCGGAGCCCGGGGCCCGCGGTCCGGGCGCCATGCGGGCGTCGCTGTTGCTGTCGGTGCTGCGGCCCGCAGGGCCCGTGGCCGTGGGCATCTCCCTGGGCTTCACGCTGAGCCTGCTCAGCGTCACCTGGGTGGAGGAGCCGTGCGGCCCTGGGCCACCTCAACCCGGAGATTCTGAGCTGCCGCCTCGAGGCAATACCAACGCTGCGCGCCGGCCCAACTCAGTGCAGCACGGAGCGGAGCGCGAGAGACCCGGGGCTGGCGCAGCCGCGGCGGAGAACTGGGAGCCGCGTGTCTTGCCCTACCACCCTGCACAGCCTGGCCAGGCCGCCAAAAAGGCCGTCAGGTAAGGATCAGTCTAGCCAGCCACCCTGTGGGTACCAGTGGGAACGGGAGTGCTGGGGAGGCCGCCGAGGGCCGGGTCAGGCTGCGGAAGGAAGAGACTGGCCGGCCAGGAAGTCTTTGGGCCCAGATAACTTCCGATGGCCCTGCTTCCCGGGGAGCTGTGGAGCCCCTCTGAGGCCCTCTCTGGGTCCCGTCTGGCCTGGGCTGAACTTGTCCGCCTCTGTGCTACACCAGCTGGACTCCAGGGTCCCTAAAGATCCTCTTAGCTTCCTGGCTGGGCTTCTGGGTTTAGATTAAAGTATTGGTATATAAAAAGGTTTTAAAGAGAGAGGGAAAGAAAAAAGAGAGAACTGAGGTTTACCTGTATCTTTCGTTACTGGTTGGGATACCTTGTGATGAGATGTGTGGGAGAGGAGTGATAGAGCCATCCTACTAATGCCTCTGCCTAGTTAAAATAATTTCTCCTGAGTAACACTGGGTTCAAATTCCAGTTCAGCAACTTAACTTCTGTGTTGTGGAAGAGAAGTTACTGGAACTCCTGAGCTCCAGTTTGCCCCTCCCCCAAACCCACTCAATACACCCCCCCATGTCATATATTCCATTACATCATTTATGTAATGTATTTGTGGTGTAATGGCATATTTACACAGAAATAAGGCCTGTATGCATGGTGTGTAGAATACCTGTGAGCTAAGCACTTGCCTAAGTGCTTTAGGTAAATATAATCAACGCCCGTTTTTCACATGTGGCTACTGAAGCACAGATAGGTTAAATAACTTGCTCAGGGGCACAAGTAAGTCGTGAAACAGGGCATCAGACACAATATATTTTTCATATCTGCATGAATATTGCCATCTTCCCCAAAACACTGATCTTTCACTTAATTCTGCACGACTCCTGGGGTGGAGTTGTTACTCTTATCCTATTCCTGCCCACCCTGATTGTCTTTTTGATAATCTTATGCTGTCTCCTCCCCAGAACCCGCTACATCAGCACCGAGCTGGGCATCAGGCAGAGGCTGCTGGTGGCAGTGCTGACCTCACAGGCCACACTGTCCACTCTGGGCGTGGCTGTGAACCGCACGCTGGGGCACCGGCTGGAGCGTGTGGTGTTCCTGACAGGCTCTCGAGGCCGTCGGGCACCACCGGGCATGGCTGTGGTGACACTGGGCGAGGAGAGACCCATCGGCCACCTGCACCTGGCACTGCGCCACCTGCTGGACCAGCACGGTGACGACTTTGACTGGTTCTTCCTAGTACATGATACCACCTATACCGAGGCGCACGCACTGGCGCGCCTCGTTGGCCACCTCAGCCTGGCAGCTGCCGCCCATCTCTATCTGGGCCGGCCCCAGGACTTCATCGGTGGAGATCCCACCCCAGGCCGCTACTGCCATGGTGGCTTTGGGGTACTGTTGTCGCGTACTCTGCTGCAGCAGCTGCGCCCCCACCTGGAAGGCTGCCGCAATGACATCGTCAGTGCAAGTCCGGATGAATGGCTGGGACGCTGCATCCTTGATGCCACCGGGGTGGGCTGCACTGGCGACCATGAGGTGAGAAGTGAGAAAATAAGCCGCCCCACGGGTGCCTCCTATCTGAGCTTGTGCACTTCCCCTGAGAGGCAAAGGGGTGGTTGGAGATAGGGGCCTGGGTTTCCATGCCAGCTCTATCCTTTTCTATCCCCATGACCTTGGGTAAATTATTGAATCTCCTGAGTGTCAGTATCTTCATACCAGTGGAAATAATTATTGCTTAGCGTTGTTATAAGGATTAGAAAAAATGAGAGAGCCTTGCACATAATAGGTGTTCAGTGTTTGGCTATTACTATTTCAGTTGAGCCCCTGGACAGCTCTGAAACTGGATGCATGCCCATTTTACAGATGAGCTAGCTAGCAAACGCTTCCCTGAGGTCACACAAGCTCATGACTCTGCAGGGTACTTAAACCCACAGAATTCTGACTGCAGGTCCACAACAGGTCCCGGGAAGGGTAGGTGAGACACATACTGTGAGGTGAGGGTGGAGGCTGTTCCATCGTTCTTCCTATTGTGGACCCTTTTCCTTCTTCTCCCTAGGGAGTACATTATAGCTACCTGGAGCTGAGCTCTGGGGAGCCTGTGCAGGAGGGGGACCCCCGCTTCCGCAGTGCCCTGACGGCCCACCCTGTGCGTGACCCTGTGCACATGTACCAGCTGCACAAGGCTTTTGCCCGAGCTGAACTGGAACGCACGTACCAGGAGATCCAGGAGTTGCAGGTATGGTCTGGGCCGGGGTGGGGAGGCAGGTGCTGTGAGGTATTAGAGATCCCAGGCGAGTAAACTCTGAGCACTAGAGTCAGAACACGCCTGCCTCCTGTCCCTGTTTGTTCCTATCCCCTCTGAGAAACCCCTCCATAAACTCCCATCTTAACTCTCAGTCTGCCCACATCTGGCAAAGGGGTAAGTAGAGGCCCTGGGAGGGCAGAGGTTGGCAGGGGACAGGACCCATCCTGAGGGGCACCTGCTGCTTGCCCCGTCCCCAGGCTGTGTGCTGGTGCCTGGGTCTGTACCTTGCTCACGGTCTGTTTCTCCAACCCAGTGGGAGATCCAGAACACCAGCCGTCTGGCAGCTGATGGAGAGCAGGCAGCCGCCTGGCCCGTGGGCATTCCAGCACCATCCCGACCAGCCTCCCGCTTTGAGGTGCTGCGCTGGGACTATTTCACTGAGCAGTACACTTTCTCCTGTGCTGACGGCTCACCCCGCTGCCCTCTGCGCGGGGCTGACCGGGCTGATGTGGCCGACGTTCTGGGGGCAGCCTTGGAGGAGCTCAACCGCCGCTACCACCCAGCCCTGCAGCTCCAGAAGCAGCACTTGGTTAATGGCTACCGACGCTTCGATCCTGCTCGGGGTATGGAGTACACACTGGATCTGCAGCTGGAGGCGCTGACCCCCCAGGGCGGCCGCCGGCCCCTCACTCACCGAGTACAGCTGCTGCGGCCACTGAGCCGAGTGGAGATCTTGCCAGTGCCCTACGTCACCGAGGCCTCACGTCTCACTGTGTTACTGCCTCTGGCTGCGGCCGAGCGTGACCTGGCCCCCGGCTTCCTGGAGGCCTTTGCCACTGCGGCTCTGGAGCCTGGCGATACTGCAGCAGCCTTGACTCTGCTGCTGCTGTATGAGCCACGCCAGGCCCAGCGGGCCGCCCACGCAGATGTCTTCGCCCCTGTCAAGGCCCACGTGGCAGAGCTAGAGCAGCGTTTCCCTGGGGCCCGGGTCCCCTGGCTCAGTGTGCAGACAGCCGCCCCCTCACCACTGCGCCTCATGGATCTGCTCTCCAAGAAGCACCCGCTGGACACACTGTTCCTGCTAGCCGGGCCGGACACGGTGCTCACGCCTGACTTCCTGAACCGCTGCCGCATGCACGCCATCTCCGGCTGGCAGACCTTCTTTCCTATGCACTTCCAGGCCTTCCACCCAGCGGTGGCGCCACCGCAGGGCCCAGGGCCCCCGGAGCTGGGCCGAGACACGGGCCGCTTTGACCGCCAGGCAGCCAGTGAGGCCTGCTTCTATAACTCTGACTATGTGGCAGCCCGAGGGCGGCTGGCAGCGGCCTCGGAGCAGGAGGAGGAGCTCCTGGAAAGCATGGATGCGTACGAGCTGTTCCTGCGCTTCTCCAGCCTGCACGTGCTGCGGGCGGTGGAGCCGGCCCTGCTGCAGCGCTACCGGGCCCAGACGTGCAGTGCCCGGCTCAGCGAGGACCTCTACCATCGCTGTCGCCAGAGCATGCTGGAGGGCCTGGGCTCCCGCACCCAGCTCGCCATGCTGCTCTTTGAGCAGGAGCAGGGCAACAGCACCTGACCCCACCCTGCACCCCAAAACTTGGCCTGGTGGTGCTTCTCCCCCACCACCCAGAGCCACCCGCCAGCCTTCCTGGACAGCCTCAGACTTCAGAACAGCCCGCTGGCCCCCTCTCTCAGGCTTGGCGGGTCCTCAGGCTCAGGACAAGCCCTGTGGGAGGTACCTTGGGAGCCACCCCTTCCTGTCCCGAAGCCCTGCCCCTGACGCTGCTGATTCAAGCTGTGGCCTCAGTATTTATGTAGTGCAGTCTGTCTGACGCCAGGCCTGCCTCCAAGTCCTGGGGGCTGGGCTGTAGATGACTTGTTGGGGAAGGAGGGAGTTGAGAGAGGAGTGTGGCTGTCTCCCAGCTTCTCCCTTCTGGACCCCTGATGAAGCTCTCTGCCTTTAATAAACTGGCTGAGTGTGGACTGGTGAGTCTGAGTTATTGGAAGCTAGGCAGGGAGCAGGGAGGGCTGGCAGTGAGGACGGAGGCTCCCTGTACTGACTGGGCCTGGATTTCCTTTCTCCAGAGACCACGTCATACAAATGCCCAGCCCCGCCCCAGCCCCCAGCTTGGTCTCTCTCTCTCACACACACACACACACACACACAGAGGATTCCTTACGCCTCTTTATTCCTAGTTCCATCAGCACTTTATAAAGCCAGACTGGAGACAGAGGCCTGAGAAGACTTTCCCCCTCCCAAGCTCAGCCAGAGTCCGAAAGGCCCGCCTGCTCCCTGCGGAGGGCACTCGGTGAGTAGGTATAGGGCAGGGGAACCCGAGCTGGGCCAGGCCTGCTGGGCCACCCGCTCCCCCTGCCAGATGAGGAGCTGGCCCTGGAGAAGAGCAGGAAGTAGGAGAAGCCCAGTAGTCCTGACTCCTGGGAGCCCACCCTCCCCTGCTGACACTGTAGGGCTGGGACCCTGGCTGTCCCCGAATCACCCACCCCATGGCCCCACCTACCTTCTATATCTGTACCCCTACCCCCACCCTGTCCTCCCTAAATATATACAAATGTACACAGGGTTCCACCCCTTCTGGGGTTTCTCTGCCTCCTTCTCTCCCCTCTCCCCTCCCTGGGGGCCCATGGCTTGCTCTCCAGCCTCCCTGGGCACCAGCCTCGGGAGGGGAGTAGGGACAAGAAGGACCCTTGTGCGAAGCAGCTGGTGCCACAGTTGGTGAGAATAGGGACTGAGTCTCTGCTCTCCTAGGAGCACCATCGCCCTTTCCCCACCGCAGCCTTGGGCTGCCCCCAGGCCTTCCGTCCCAGGAGCAGGAAGATCCAGGGAGGAGTCCCAGACTCCTGGGTCCTTTCAGACACAGCATCATCCTAGCAAGCGAAGTCTTCAAAGAGGCCTCCTGGGGGGCCGTGCGGGTGGTGATGGTTGGGGAGCAGGTTGCTGGCTCCCCCACCTTCAGCCTGACCCCGGCCTGGACAGGGACTCTGCAAGGTGAAGTGGGAGACTTCAAACCATGCCCCCAAGACCCATACAGCCAGCCTTTCTGTGTCCCTGCGGCAGAGGCGCCACGGGGGCCAGGGACCCCCTCTCATGGGCTAGTCCAGAAATCATGGGGGCACTCAGTCCCGGGAAAAGGAGCTTGCTGCTCGCCCTGCAGGCTCACCCTCACCTGCTCCTTCAGCTCCTGCAGTCCCAAGGTGGAGATGCCCCCCGTGGAGGTCCTCAGGGGGGTCTTGGGACGACGCCACACCCGCTTCAGTTGGTCCCAGGACACCTTGGGATTCAGGATCGGGGGATAGCTGTGGGCTTAGGAGACTTGGTAGAGGAGAGGGGCAGACTAACCAGGCTCACGTTATAGGACTTGCTGCCCAGCAAACCCCCCACTAGGACCCCTGATCCTCTTTACCCATCCCTTTCTCCTGACTTCTCAGAACCCTCAGGCCTCCCAGTCAGCCAGGGGACTCTGGCAAAAGACCCAGAGCTGGACTCCCCAGCCAGACCCGCTCCACCAGGAAGCTCGCACTGCCCCTCTGCTTTTCTCAGAGCCCCTCCCACTCCTCGCTGTGCGGGTGGCCCCAGACAGGCCCCTTCCTTGCCTCATAGATGTAGTCCAGGATTTCCAGCAGTGTGAGGATGCTGGCCCCGATGAATAGGCCCATCTGTCCCCCAAGGTCTCCTGGGGATCACAAGAGCAGGGTCAGAAGGAGCAGGCCCAGCTGGCCCACACCCACGGAATCTGGGCCAGGCCTCACCCAGCAGGGCTGACAAGCCATAGGCTGCTCGCTGCTCCATGGCCTCAGAGGTCAGGGCTTCAAAAAAGACATCTAGGACAAGGAAGTTCTCCCTGCAGAGAAAGGAAGCAGGATGTCCACGTGAGACTACCTTCCCAAGGGGGCAGCTGGCTGGCAGGCACATCCCAGGTCCAGAAGTGCCTATCCAAGATCCCCTGTGCAGGGAAGCTAGGGACTCCCCTCAGGCTCCCAAAGGCTGTAAGGGGAATTGGTCCCAGATGTGTGTTAGCTTCACACTCTGAAGGTTAGCAAAAGTCCCGGGAGAGCAAAAAAAAAAAAAGCCTGGGCCTACAGTTTCCCACCTGCCTTCTCTAAAGCAGCAAATAGTGTTCATGTTCCTGTGCCTCTCTAGAACCTTCAATGGCTCCCTATGACCAATAGTCCACTCCAAAATTCTTCTTCCAGACTTCCAAGACTACCCATAATATGTTGCATTGTCTGTGCCTTCCTATCCAACCTACCTTCTTATCTGCATCTACCCCCCCCACTGCCCTTCCTCCCCACTCAGGCCAGTCTCCACAGCCTCCCACAGTTCTCTAACTGGCATGCCTGCCCCCTTTCCTCCGTTCTCTTCCCCTCACAGACCCCGGGTCCTCAGAGGCCCAGCTCACACCTACCCTGCTTCCCTACCCCATGCACATTCATCTCTCCTGGGGCCTGAGGAGCAGCACCACACAGCCACACATGGTTTCATCCACAAACTGTGCCATGGGCTTTGTGTTGTAATCACCTCTGTCCCGACAGGACCCAGCCCTGGGCCTGGGACTCAGAGGATGCCCAGCATCTGTAGATTGGCTGCAAGGTACCAGACTCAGCGCTCGGAGGGGTCCCTCCTGCAGGCCACCCCATTCCTCTCCCAGCCCTCCCAGTTTCTCTCCCTCACCATGGCATTCACTCAACATGCCTTCAACGGCCCAGGTTGCTGGGGGAGAAAGACACATAACAGAGGGCTCTAAAACAATAGGTATGTACGATGACAGCGACAGGTACAGGGTGCTTGGGAGCTCAAGCGAAAGGCATTTGGACCAGGGGCTTCCATGGAGGTGGAGACAACAGATGGGACTTGGAGGATGGGTAGGGATTGTTAGAAGAAAAGGACTGTGAAAAGTGTTCCTGGCAGAAGACTTCTTATTAACAAAGCTGCCCCCTGCTCCCCATCTCCACCATGCACCGGGTCTGTTGAGGGTGGCCTCCACCACACACACACACACACACACACACACGCTTACATACATACACATACCGAATGTAGGTTTCATTGCGGTTGTACTTCCTGGCCAGGTACCGGGCTGAGCCCCTGTTGGGGATCCTGACCATGGAGATTTCTTTCCCGTAGCGGGTCAGGTTGCAAGGAGTAGGACAGAAACACGGGCCCTCGGAGCCCCCACCCAGGGAGTCTGCAACACAGAGGCACCAGCTGCAGTGGGGGCGAAGAGGGCTGGATGGCCCAGAGGCCCGCCAGCTGCAGAGGCTGTCCTGAGGCAGCCATGTCCGCACTGAGGGCCTTGACTGACCAGCCCTGGCACTGCCCAGAGGACACGGGATGGGGGTCCCGTCCTGGACCAGCTTGAGACTATCCAAGAAAGCGGGTGAAGGCTAAGCTCCCAGGCACCCTTTCACAGGCTTGTCCCTCTGTCCCCCAGCTCCCTAGTGCAGGAGGTCCTCATGGCTCAGAGGGAGGGCATGGCCCATCCACCAGAGCTAACCAAACACATGAGGCCTCAGACACTCCAAGGGACCTAGAGTGGAAGCCAGGATGAACCAGTGGATAGGTGACTGGTTGGATGGATGGATGGATGGATGGACGGACAGACAGACAAAAGAACAAGTGGATGGATAGAATTTGTATGCTCAGTATGCTGGGTTTTCTCTGTTTAGCCCCTCAGATCCACCCTCCATTCTCCTCTACCTTTCTCTGTGGCCAGGAGGCTGAGTTCTGCCAAATGTATCACCTAGACCCCCTCATCTTCTGGCTTTGGGTTTGGTTTGGCCAATGGGAGTCCCCAGCAGGGTCGGAAGGCAAGGAGGGGGAAGATACCAGGCTATTTCTCTTCCCAGCTTCCTTACTGCTGGGCCATAGTTAGCAGAGGCTCCGTCCCTCCCCTGGTACCCACGGCTCCGGTACCTTGGCCCTCTGGGACAGCCACGGCTCTCCCTGGGCTCCAATGGGGCTCCCTTCCTGCCCCCATCCAGGCCTGAGGGAGTAAGGCCCCCTGGGAGGTGCTAGTTTTGAGGAGCCTCACCACCCCTTGGGGGTCACTGATCCCGACTCACACAGCTGTTCCTTCACTGGATGCTCTTCGATCACCTCTGATGGGCACAGTTGGTGCACAGAACAGAAGGTCCGGATGTGGTTCTACAGTCTCAGTGCCCCGCCACACTCCCTCCCGGCTCCATCATCTGGATTATTGCACTGCTTTTCTTACCAGTCACCCTGCTTCTGGTCTCCCTCCCCACTATCCACTTCCCACATCTAATCAGTCACCTTCCTAAAATCAGATAGTATTCTTGTCATGCCCTAAGCCACTGTGGCTTCCCAGAGCCTCCTCTACTCTTCCCCTCCCCCAGGCTTCCGCTCCGCCTCTGTGCCCTCTGCCCTCAGCACACTGATCTTGCAGCATGCCAGACACGCGCTCTCCCTGGCCACAAGGTCTTCAGCGTGTGCTGTTCTTACTGTTCAGAACACGCCCCCTTTCCACCTGGGTGACTGTCACTTCTAGGAATCCTCCCTGCTGTCCCAGGTCCCCGCCCCGGGGGCCTTGCAGGATCCCTCGGTTTCCCCCACACAAGGACTAACACACAGTGTTGTCACGCCTATCCACAGCCATGCCCAGCAGTGAGCTCCACAAGAGCAGGACTCTTGTTCCCCCTCTCACCTCCAGCACCAGCCGTAAGTGCCTAGAGAATGAATGAAGAATGAATGAATGAATGAATGAATGAATGAGTAAATAAACTGCAGGTCAGACAGGACCTATGGACAGATGGCAGCTGCCTTCCCCACACTGAGAGCCAGCAGTGCATTTTTCCTCACACCAAGAAAGCAGTCATTTCACTTCCCCAGAAAAGCAAGCTCATTTGCTGACCCAAGACAGGAAGCCTGGGTTCTCTGCAACCCCTCACCCTGCTGCCTCCACTTACCCAAATGTCCAAACCCGAAAAGGTCTTCAGACCCCTGGAGGTATGGGATAAGTCTCGACCCCCAGGCAGAACCCCCCCCCCAGGGAAAGACTGGGAGGAGGAGAGCCAAGGCAGTTAGGAGGAGGGTGGACAGAGAGGTGAGGAGGAGGGTGATGGAGAGGCAGAGAGGGAGCAGGCAGCACGGACCCAGTGTGTGGTCGGCACACTCAATGTAGATATTTGGTGGGCAGATGGTCTCGTTGCCTAAAAGGAGAGAAGATTATTCCTGGAGTCTAGGGTTCCATCCCCAATCTCCACCACATTCCCAATGTGAGCACACTCATGCACGCACACATGACCAAAACAGGCATGTTTGCACATGCATGTGCAGGCATGACTGTATGCATGATCATGCATGCAAGCACAAAAGTGCACACCTGCAAGCACATGTATATGCATGTGTTCAAGCACATGCATGCCACCCCCACAAGCACACAGGTACAGAAGTACATGAGCATGCGTATGCATAGATGCATATCATTGTGCATGTATATGCACTCCACACACGTTAAAAGATGCATAAAATCCCAGGCACACATGCACTCACATGGATACAGGCATGCACACATGTTGCGCACATGCACCTGCCCATGCCCATGAGCAGTGCGCTGCTCCTGGAGGTTCTGGAGCCTGGTGGGGGGGCCCGGAGGGTTAGTGGGGAGGTGGGGTGCCCACCTGGCATGTGCACCATTCGGCAGTGGCAGCGCTGAAGCACGGCCTCCTTCTCACAGCGCAGCCGGCAAGCAGACACACTGTAGGCTGAGTAGCCCTGAAGCTCAGGCTCCCTGAGCCCACTCTCCGCCCGGCAGTTGCCCCAGGGCTGAGGCAGGTAGGTCAGCTGCAGAGGTGGGCATGATGGGGTGGGGTCATGCCCAGGAGTCCCATCCAGCCCTCCAGTGCTCACAGCCCCAGGCAAAGTTCATGGGCAGACTGGCTGACTGGCTGACTGTGAGCTTTGGGAAGACAGGTCTGGTCAGCATCCTCTCTAAACCCAAAGGCTCCGCGCCCAACCCAGTGCCCAGCTGGAGGTGTTCACCCGCTGTTCCTGGCAGGACACGAAGGTCTGGAAGCCTGGGGACACGCCGAAGCCCAGCTGGTGGATGTAGGGTGGCTCCTCCTGGCTGTGGATCTGCACTCGGATGCCAGCCTCAAATGACGTCTCATCTGCACGGCGAAGATGGGGAGCTTTCAAAAGCCATGCCCGGCAGGCGGACCAGGCCAGAGCCCCCAGGTTGGCCCTGTCCCTTCCCCACCTACGTACTTGTCTCTCTCCAGATGGGCAGGTACTCCTCCTGCTGGATGTCCAGCATGATCTCCAGGCCACTGCCCATGCCCCCAGCCCGGCTGGGAAGGGAGCTTTGTGGGTCCGCGTTGAAAGTATAACACTTCCCATAGCGAGTATAGACCTGGCAGGGGAGAGGAGGGTGTGAGAGAGAAGGGGAGATGGAAGGAGAGGCTAAGACAACTCCTTATGCTTAGGGTTTCCTGTCTGCCCGCCCCCCCCCCCCGCCAGGGTCACCAGACCTGCCTGGGCAGCCCTGTCCCATATTCCAGCAATCAATCTACAGCCCAGCCTCTCACCTGAGCTCCGTCTTTTCTGCTGATATCCTCCCTTAGATGATTAAAGGCATCTCCAGCTTAACAAATCAATAGCAGAACCCCAAATCCCGGCCCCTCACATACACCGTTCTCCTCCTCCACATAAGGGCCTCTGCTATCTATGAAATTGCTCAGGTCAGAATCCCTGAAACCTCCTCTCCCTCACCAGCAGCTTTCTCAGGCAATTCTACTTCTGAAATCTATTTAGAATTTACTCACTTTCCTTCCACACTGCATCTCCCCTTCTGCCGTCATCTCCCACCTGGCCACGGCAGTGCACTCCTCACCAGTTTCCCTTCCTCCGTCCTTGCTTCTGCCTCCCGGCCATTCACATGGCAGCCAGAGCTCCTTCCAACCCAGTCACCTCTTGGCTTAAAGTCCCTGCAACCAACAGCTTTCCATTTCCTGCAGAATAAAGCCAGACTCCTCCCCTAGCCTGAAAGTCACCATGGAAGGCGACCCTTGCCAATCTCTCCTGCCACTCTACCCCCAGATCTCTGACAAATTCAAACTCGTGGTTCGCCTTCCTTCCTCGGACCTTTGTTCAGGCAGGTCCCTCTCCTGGAATGCCTCCCCCTCCCGTTTTGGCACAGCTCGCTGTTCATCCCTCAAACCTCAGCTTAAGTGTCCCTTCCTCATATGTACACTCATATACCACACACGTCCCCAGTTTCACTCCCCACCCAACAATCAGCGTGTTTGTTGGTTGGCTCTAAGTGCTTATCGAGGCCTGAGACTAGTCCTGGCTGGTGTGGCTTAGTGGGTTGAGCACTTGGCTTGCAAACGCAAAGGTCACAGGTTCAATTCCCAGTCAGGGCAAATGCCTTGGTTGTGGACCAGGTCCCTGGTTAGAGGCATGTGAGAAGCAGCCAATTGAGGTTTCTCTCCCTCTCATTTTCTCCCTCCCTTCCCCTCTGTCTAAAAAATAAATACAATCTTTTAAAAATAAAAAGACCTGGGACAACATTGTTTATCTGTTTGTCTCCTAGTTCAGTGTTTTCCTTTCCCCACCAACAGACTTTGTGCTGCACAGGACCAGTGACTCTATCTGGTGCCCCCAGCACCCCGCCCAGCGCTCCCGGAACGCAAAGGACAAAATCAGCAGTTCTTGCAGCACAGACCGAAGCCCACGTCTTCGACCCAGTGGAGAGCGACCGGTGGAGAGTTCCCCAATATAGACACCAGAGGGCGCTGGCGCCTCGGCGATGGATGCCGAGGCAACCGCGGGGCGAGGCAACGGTGGGGCCGCAGCTGAGGTGGGGATTTGCGGCTGCAGCTGGGTGGGAGGAGGTTGAGGGAGAGGCAGAGCAAGTGTCCCCTGCCAGGCTCACCCCACAGAGACAAGCCCCCGTGTCAGAGCCATCACAGGCAGCACCGTCCCTGGGGGCCAGGGGTCAGCGCACTCAATCACTCTCTCTCGCTCCCCCTCCCCTTTCCTTGGGAACATATTTACACTGGCAAAAACTGGGAGGAACGGCGTGAGGCATGTTAGGGAAAAGCTATCTTAAATGCCTCGCTTCAGAGGGGCTGGGTTGAGGGGCTGGGTGGGAGTGAGCAGTTCTGAGAAGTGGGGGGCTGGGGCACCCTCGCGTTGGGGCGAGGTTAGGTCTCCCATCCTTACTAGGTTAATAACCCTGCGGATCCTCCCCTCTCAGATAGTTCTAACACCCTGCCTCAGGTTCCTAAAACAAAACACACACCATGCGTGCACAAAACACGGCAACGCCTACCGCTGCCCCATTTCATCCCGTCGGCAACCCTGGTACCAGGTGGGTCGAATTAAGCTGATTATTACTCAAGGGCCACACAACTAGTCAGTGGGAGAGGCGTAATTCATCCAGATGCAAGACTCTACCTGTTCTGGGGAGGCGCCCCCTCCAAGTCCCAGCTCCTGCTCCAGCCCCGTTCAGCCGTGATGTGACCCAGCACCATCCCCTCGTCTCCTATCCCTCCTTCCCGTCCACTCCACCCCTCTCCACACCTTCCTCCCTCTTCCTTCTCCATGTCTGCTACTCTCAATCCCTCACTTCCTCTCCTGTCCCTCCCTTCCTGCTTCCGCATCCTCACCACCTTCTGGCTTCCGGTTCTTAAGTCCGTTTCATCAGTGGCCAACTCCCTGCCGTGGGTGGGCCAGTAGTAGGCGTCACGGACGGTCCAGTGCTCTCTCTCTCTGGCCCAGGCACCGCGATAAATGCTTAACATACTCACTCCGACTGCATCCTCACAACCACCCTACGTTGGACTGAGGAGGAACTGAGGCTTGGAGAGGTACACCAAGCGGCCCAGATCGCCCAGACCCGTGCTTCGCAGACTTTCGGTGTGCCCATGTGCACACGGGATCTTGTTAGTGCAGATTCCGGGCATGTTGGGGGGGCAGGACTCAGAGTCTGCATTTCCAACCACCTGCAGGTTGCACTTTGAGTCTAAAGGCCCCAGATGGAGTGGGGAGAGTCCAGGCAGACCCACTGCTCTCCCTGCAGAGAGGGGGACCCTGAAGGGGACTGGGTGCAAGATTTATGTGTCCCCAGCGGTGTGGGAAAGGCAGCAGGGAACATGTAAGTATTTTCCTCAGTTTTCAAAGCACCCACCCTCTTCCTATTCCAGGCCAAGATGTTGGAATCTGCTTTCGCTGATGCAGCCAGTTTTGAGTGAATGCTCCAGTTGAGAGGCTAAGCAAGACATGAGCTGCAGGGGGGACCCGGGCGGTGAGCTGCTCACTCGTGTGCCCCAGCGTGCTGGATCATGGCAGCAGAGCCCTGCCCGTCAGCAACTCCTGGTGTTTCCGCAGCTCGACCTCATCTATGAGACGGTGGGCTGCCAGAGGCCAGGAGCCCCACGTTGCCATCTTGGCACCCCCAGAGCCTAGTGCAGTTCGCAGAAGGAGGCCTGAGGCAGAGGAAAGAAGTGCAAAATGAGCACTGCCAAACACCCCCACTTTGTACCCAGTTCTGTGCTACAGGCCTGCGGTCTGTTTTCCCCCTTGAGCCTCTAAGACAACCATGTGAGAGCATTGCTTCCATCTGATGCTGAGGAATCTTAGAGAGGAAAAGTGACTTGGCTGAGGACACACATACAGCAAGTAAATGAGACTCAAACAGAATGGAGCTCAGTGCCAAAACAGTGCTTCTAAATCATCTGGCAGTGTTCCACGAATGAATGACTCAGGTACATTCCTCACCCTCGGTGGGTTTGGGCAGCCTCCCTACCTGATGTCCCCAACAGGTGCACACGGACACACACTGCACGGCACTGAGCCCAGTGCTGGGCAGGGCCAAGCCAGTGGGGACGGCTTTGGCTCTCATGGCTTTGGAGGAGAGCAGTTATCTGGCACCCCGGCCTTGAGGTGGCTGTGACAAAGGGGGATGGGTCTGATGCGTGTAGTTTTCGGGAAATGGACAGGCCAGACTGGCGGGGCCAGGCCACCTGCACAGCCCAGGTCAGGCCCAACTGCTGGGCAGAGCAGAACGTTGCTCTGGAGACGGTCCCCAGGCCAGGCAGGCAGTGGCAGGTGGAGCCGCCAGCTCCTAAGTGGCAGAATATTTGTGGCAGCACAGCCCACAGCTTCTTCCATGGAGACGGCACGACCGCTCAGCCACAGGGTCCCACTGGCTGGCCACTGCCGTCTCCCCATGGACTGGCCTGAAAGGAGGGTGTGTGCACAGAAGTTGAGAGTCCAAGGCTCGGCCACGCAAAGGGGCAGGTTCCAGGCCAAGATGTGCGCTGATGGGTTGAGGGGCTGTCTCCAGACGACCCGCCACCAGCCCTCAGCCCCAGACCCTGTCCACATCTCAGACCCCACCTCCTCCTTCAGCCTGGCCCTCCCTCTTCTGTGCCCTTCCTTGCTCTCTGCCTTAGTTTCCAAGTCCACCCTCCTGGTTCCAGGCTGAGTACATGGCCTCTCAGAGCCCTTCCGGACCTAAGCTGGACAGCTGCTTGATGAGAATCCGTGCTTCATGAAGATCCTTGGACCTCTCCACCACCTTTCTTCCAGCCAGCCTCTGCCTGTCCCTCCCAGACCAACCCCCCCTTTAGTTTTAGCCTGGACCTGCTCTGGGTAGGCCTGTCTCCCAGCCTCTGTCCCCTGATCTCAGTCTTTCTCAAGTCCCTCCTCCTGGCCTGTCTGTCCTCAGCATCCAATCAATCCTCCATCTGGTCTCTGTTTTTCTGTCTCTTGCTTTTTGTCGGCCTGTCCATCCCCCTGGCCCTTGTCTTTCCCTCTTGTTGTCCTGGCTCCTCACCCCACCCCATGCTCCTTTGCTGTCCATCTTGTTTGCTCTCCTCTCTGTCCCTTAGTTTAGCTGTCCAGACTCTATCTCTTGTCTTCCTCTTAGACTTCTCCCTGGCCCTGACACTGCTCCCCCTGACCAAGCTAGAAACCCTTCCCTGGTGTTCACCCCACCTTCACCCTGCCCTTCCTCCGGGTCTGCCCCAGGTGATGACCGGGGGTCCAGAGAGACCTGAACATGGGGCTTTTCTGTCCCTTGAGTCCCATCTACCCACAGCTCCCATTTCCTCCGGCTGGCTTGCCTGCATTCTCTCCCACCTCTCCCCACCCCTGCATCCTCCCTGTAGTCACAGAGCCCATGGGGTTAACAGGCAATTAGCGGGTCCAGGACTCAAAGCTGTGAGGGAGAGGGCCCAGCCTTCAGGAGATAAGGAGCCACCAAGCACGGCAGAGGCTGGGCTAATCCGGGAGCTAATCTGCAGCCTGGGCTTTATCTCCACTGTGCTTTAGGCACCCGGCCTCTGCCAAGGCCCTGGCATCCCCCTTCTTCCATGGCAGCTTCACCCTCCCTTCCAATTCCCT